GCCCGCGGGGGGGCCGCCTCGCCCGCCGCCGCCATGGACGCCATCAAGAAGAAGATGCAGATGCTGAAGCTGGACAAGGAGAACGCGCTGGACCGCGCCGAGCAGGCCGAGGCCGACAAGAAGGCGGCCGAGGAGCGCAGCAAGCAGGTCTGCCCCGCCGCGTGCCCCGCGCGCCCCTCCGCGCCCGCCCCGGGGAGCCAGGGAGGGAGGGAGGGAGAAGGAGGGGAGACCTCGTCCCCCCCGTACACGCCGCCACCACCACCCTCGGTGCCAAAGTTTCCCAAAGTGCAGGGAGCAATGTGTCTGTGCGTTGTATCCCTTCTTGTGCACCCAGTTAGAGGATGACATCGTGCAATTGGAAAAGCAATTGCACGTGACGGAGGATGCGCGGGACCAAGTGCTGGAGGAGCTGCACAAGGCGGAGGACAGCCTCCTCTCGGCCGAGGAGAATGCCGCCAAGGTACCGTGCCCGCGCCACGAGCACAGCCGTCTAACTCTCTTCTTCTCTCCCTCTCTCTGTCCGTCCGTCTGTCCTCTCGCTCTCTCTTCTGCACCCGCACCTCTCCCTTTGCACGGTCACGCTGCCTGCTGCACCTTTTCCTGCCCGCCCTCCCCTCTCCACTGCTTGCTGCCTGAATCACAGCTGGAGGACGAGCTGGTGGCTCTGCAAAAGAAGCTGAAGGGCACTGAGGATGAGCTGGACAAATACTCCGAGTCCCTTAAAGATGCCCAGGAAAAGTTGGAACTGGCTGACAAAAAGGCCACAGATGTAAGTTACCCCCGTCACCGTCCCCCATAGCGAGAGGGCCCACAGTCCCCTCGGCACAGGGCGGCCAGGCCTCGTGCTGGCCCCGGCGCCTCCTGGACGAGCGGCGGCAGAGCCCGCGCTGCCTCCTTGCATGAGGTCTGCGCACCCGCAGAAGCCGTCGGTTGGGTGTGCTCGCTCCACACGTGCTTTCCGTGTGCACTTGCTGCTCGGGACGTGACAGTGAAACAAGAGGCAGCTCGGCCGTCCAGATGACGGGGGAATGGCTCGGGTTGGAACAGCCCCACTCCGGTACTAGACGCAGAGCAGAGGCAGGGAGCTGGGGCTGCTGGTCTCACGTGTTGGAGCTGTGCAGAGACAGGGCTGGGGCAGCTCCCTGAGCTAAGGGCCTCTCCTAGCTCATCTTTCTGGAGATTTCGGGGACGTTATTGCCTGTCCAAGCAATGTTCAGCCCAGCCTGGGCTGGGGCTGTGGGGAAGCTGATATTTTCAGGGTCTGCAGCTGAGGGCACGGGGATGCTGGGCACATATATAGCGATAGCGCAGCGCTTTATATGGAAGTATAGTGGCAGGCTGCGGCCCCCCCGGCGGCGCTCA